AGATCTAGAGGTAACTGTCCATTCTCTATTTTTCCCTGTTGCCTAGTTCGCAAATCCTTTACTGCCAGTGGAGTAGAGCAGCGCTGGGATTTGTTTCACCTGATTACATACCTTGAGCAGTGCCTAGAAGTCCACTTATGACAGGAGTCTGCCTTTTTGACTTGCTAATCAAGTAATTGAACGTGAGGCAATCAGTTATGCACTGGCTGACCTTTCTATATGCTTCTGTCAGTTTCTAGGGTGTGGAAAAAACTTATTGCTTTCTCTTTGTTTCTCTGTGGTCAGACCAAGAGATGCTGTGAACTAACAGTTCTGTTAGCAGTGAGTTTTTGGAATATTGTCTTTTAGAACCTGGGAAATGCTCTTAAAGACAGATGTGTTCCTTGAAAATTACTAGTTATAAACCTTAATGGAGGTTGAGGTTAAACTTGGTGACTTCTTAATATTCTTTCAGACCTGTAATTTCCATTTCATTTCCTGGTCCTGTCATTCAATTTTTTATCCTAATGAACAATTCATAATTTAATATTTGTTGCAAATTATATGAGTGTTACTCTAGTAAAATAGAAACTGGGTGTTAAATACGAAGTGGAGCGTGGATGAACACATTGTCACTAAGTTGGTTAGAGAGTTCTGTAACATGAACCATTGAATCAAAAATAGCTTGCTCAGTAAATAATCATAAGAACTGCTACTTATGTTACAGAGATCGTAAGAGTGACTTTTGCGGTTACTCTGTTGAGGATAGTAAAACCATAGTATAATTGTCCTTAGTGGAACGGTGAATGGCATTCTGTCTTCTTGCTTGCTTTATTGTTTTAAAAATGGCTCTCTGTGCAGTCTTTTAAACAATTACCTTTATTTTTATATTCGCATCCCCCCACTTGCTCCTCTTTGGCGACCATCTGTTTATGTTTTGTTTATTATTATTTTTTTTTTAGATTCCACAGCTAAGTGAGATCATACGTATCTATCTTTCTCTGTACGACTTATTTCACTTAGCATAATTCCCTCTTAGGTCCATCCATTGTCACAAATGGCAGATTTCATTCTTTTTTTTATTGTCGAATAATAATTCATCGTGCGTGTGCATATATACGTACACACCACGTTTTCTTCATTCATCTATCGCTGGACATCTAGGTTGCATCCATATTTTGGCTATTACTAGTAATGCTGCAGTGAACATAGGTATGCATGTATTTTTTTGAATTAGTTTTTATTTTCTTTAGATAAATAACCAGAAGTGGAATTGTTGGGTCATATGGCAGCTCTATTTTTAATTTTTGGGGGAATCTCTGTGCTGTTTTCCATAGTAGCTGCACCAATTTACAATCCCACCAACAATCTTTGAGGGTTCTCTTTTTTCCCTATCTCTTGTTATTTGTTGGTTTATTGATGACAGCCATTCTGAGAGGTATGAGGTGATATTTTTTTTGTGGTTTTTAATTTCCCTGAGGATTAGTGATTTCGAGCATCTTTTCATGTGTCTATTAGCCATCTGTCCTCTTTGGAGCAAGGTCTATTCAGGTCTTCTGCCCATTTTCCATTTTATTTTTTAATTAATTAATTAATTAATTCACGCCTACAGCGCCTGGTCTTCCTAGGTGGTCTCCCATCCAAGTACCAACCAGGCCCGACCCTGCTTAGGTTCCAAGGTCAGACGGGTTTGGGCATGTTCAGGGTGGCATGGTCGTAGACGCTCTGCCCATTTTTAAATTGGATTTTTGTGTGTGAGGAGGGTCTTTAAATTGTATGAGTTCTTTATATATATTGGATATTACATATATATATATATATAATTTGTAAATATTTTTTCCCATTCAGTACATTGTTTCATTTTTTAATGGTCTCTTTTGCTGTGTAAAAATTTTTTAGTTTGATGTAGCCCTATTTGTTTATTTTTCTTTTGTTTCCCTTGATCAAAGAGATATATCAAAAAAAATACTGCTAAGCAATGTCAGAGTTCACTGCCTATGTTTTCTTCTAGGAGTTTTATGGTTTCAGCTATAACATTTAAGTCTTTAATCCATTTTGAGTTTATTTTTGCATATGGTGTAAGAAAATGGTTCAGTTGCATTTTTTGGCATGTATCTGTCCAGTTTTGCCAACACCACTTATTGAAGAGATGTCTTTACTCTTTTGTATATCCTTGCCTCCTTTGTGATACATAAATTAATTAGTCGTATAAGCGAGGATTTATTTCCATTCTCTAAATTCTAGTGCATTGACTTATGTAGCTGTTTTTCTTCTAGTACTGTTTTGATTATTGTAGCTTTGTAGTGTATTTTGATGTCAGAGAGTTTGATACCTCCCCCTTTGTTCTTAAGATTCCTTTGTTTATTTGGGGTCTTCTGTGGTTCTATATGAATTTTAGGATTAATTCTAATTCTGAGAAGAATGCCATGGGCATTTTAATAAGAATTGTATTGAATCTGTATATTACTTTAGGTAGTGATCCTTCTAATTTATAAGCAAGGTATATCCTCCCATTTATTATCTTGTTCAGTTTCTTCAGTGTCTTTTATTTTTCAGAGTACAGGTCTTTCACCTCTTTGGTTAAATTTCTAACTAAGTAATTACTTTTAATGCAATTATAAATGGGATTATTTTCTTATGATCATTTGTTATTGGTGTATAGAAACAACAGATTTCTCTGTGATAATTCTTTATCCTGCAGCTTTACCAAAGTAAGGTATTTTGCAACTCTACTTACATACATTTGTTAATTTGACTACGTATTTACATTTTAATAAGTATGAAGTTAAACTGCTTTTTAATGATTGATGAAATTTGGAATTCTGTTTTGATCTCATATTTGGAAAAAATATTTCAATGAAATTATCATTTAATTCAATTCTAAGTTAAATTAATTCTAATACTTCACCTTTCGCACCATTTTATAAATAACAGCCTAAACCTCAAATCAGATAGTGGAAGGCAGTTTGGTTAACACTTTAGCTGTTATGTAATCTAGGTGCACATTGGAGCTATTGCTATGAATATCTACAGTGATTCTCTTTAATACCGTTTTTTGTTTTTTGTTTTTTAAGGAAAAAGGCGCAATGTAATTCTGAACAGAAGGAAAAGAGAGTTGTTGAATTCATAGCTACTACCTACCTTTTCAACCTTAAGATAATGTTTCCTTTGCTGGCCAGTGGAAGGGATAGGAGAAATAATATTTTGTGTCTCTTATGAGCCAAACCGGTTATTAATATGAAAATCTCATTTCCTCTAGGGAGCTTGTCAATATTTTCAAGGCTGATCCTTCCCACCTTCTACCTTCTTTCTTCTTACAGGTCCTTACCATTCTGTACCCTACTAACCTCACTCTAACTACTTATTTAACAAAGCAGTGGGTGTGTATTACTTAGAGTCTAGTTTATGCTGTGGCTGAAATACTTAAAAGGATGTTATGTGGGAGAGGAATTGGGCTTTATTGGATGGCAGCAGTAGGAAGAAATGGGTAGAAATGGGAAGATAGCTCAAGAATGGAACAACTTTCTAAAAGGACTATTCAAAATTAGGGTTAGCTGTCAGATCTTTCTGGAAACGGTGTAGTAAAATGTCGGACTAACTGACCTATAGGTTTGTTTATAACACTGAAATTTCAGGACTTTATAGTTGTATCTACTAATTTACGTATTAATAGTATATTTATTTACACACATCTTAATATTGCATTGTCTCTCTCAACTGTTACCTTACAGGTTATAGTTTATATCTGATGGTCTGTAGTTTTTATGTGACATACCTGAGTATGGATTCAATTTTATTAATCCTGTTTAGGACTTGGTGCGCTTCTTCAGTTTGCTAATTCATGTCCCTCTTCAATTCCGAAAACCTGTCAATCTTTATGACTGAAGATTTTGCATTTACTCCTCTTTCTGTTTTTCCTTCTGGAACTCCAGTCGGAGCTTCTCATTTTGTCTTCCTTTGCTCTGAGCTGCTCTTTAGTATTTTTCATCTCTTTGTTTGTGTCTGTCTGGACAGTTTCTTCGGATTTTTTCCTAGTTCACTCATTCTCTCTTTAGCGTATCTTCTGTGCTGTTTAACCAGTACATTGAGTCATTAATTTGTGTTCATAGCAATATTTTTAATAATAGCCAAAAAAACCTCCCAAAACACTGCAACCCGAATGCCCAGCTACAGCAGAATGAGAACTACATTTGACATACAGTGGCGTATGATACAGCAATAAAAATGTGCGTATTACAGCTACTTGCAACAACAAGTGAGATGAATCTCAGAAACGTAAGGTGGAATAAAACCATATAAGACTAAATGATATATCGTTTAGGCCTATACAGGTATTTATAGCAAAGTTATAAAGACAAGGGGATAATGAACAAAATTCAGTTTAGAGATCACCTTAGGAGGGGTAAGGAAGGTGATGAGTTAGGTCGAGGTACCCAGGAGACTTTAAAGGCAATGATAACGTTCTTTATCTTAAACCTAGTAGTATATAAATGTTTGTTTTGTCATTCTACCATATACATATTTCCTAAACTTCTTTTGTATCCACTTAGTATTAATAAAATCATTTTAAAGACCTTAAAGAGTTTAGAGTATACTTTGAGAGCAAATGAATACAAATATAACCTAATTATCAGCAAAAATATCTTCTTTGCATAAATGAATTTATAGTTTAAAATCAACTTGTTTAATTGATTATTGAATTTTCATTTTAGTTAATAGTTTTTAAAAGCTTGGTGGGTCATAATTTTGTTTTTAGATACTAATATACACATTTTATGTTTATAATAGAAAATATTATATAAAATTCTATTTCAAACCATTAAAAAAATTAAACTTAAGTACAGTTCTCAAATTTCATATATTCACATCCTTATTTAGAAGCTTCATGGTAACAGCTAAGCCCTCTGTATTTCTCCCGTGACTGATGTGACAGCAGTCTGTGGAGTTAGCTGTGTGATTATGTACAGCTTGGGATTACTTTAGGTTATTCTTTGAAAATAGGACTTCAAGCAAAGCATCTTGTATTCCTTTTGCAGAAATGTTGCTGAAGTGCTGCTGAAAGGGCCAGAGATGCAAGGATTTGGGATACATTTTGAACCTTTAAGCTGTCTGACATTGACCTCCTTTCATTATTAATAAAGAAGAAGCAGGAGCTTAGGATGTATTAACACCAACTCATTAATATACTAACCGGACAATGTTCTGCAACAATTCTACATTGTAAAGAACTGGATTGGCACAAAATAAAATAATTTCATATTATACTCAGCTTATAATATGACCTGATGGAGGAAAATTTGATAAGCATGAGGGAAGACCATTCTTTTCACGTTCGTTACAGGTAAGACTACTGCTTTCTTAGTGGGCGATTTTTACTCCTTACTCAAACATGGACTTAACTCTGATCATTTGAAATTTACATTTGACAATATTCAAAATATACCAGCCATAGTTAGTCTCTCCTCTAAACAAAGTTATCTTTTTGTTACAAGTTTTTATATCCTTTCTGTAGGAAAATGGTAGCAGAGACCAATTATATACTATGCTTTGTTTATTATTGTTCTGTGGAAGAGTTTATGAATAGCTATTTTATATTTTGTAACTGTGTAATGCAAATATAAAGTTAAAATATATTTCTAAATCTTGGGGGGGGTAAAGGGTGGATTTTTGTAATGTCAACTGAATGACCTAATTTTTGTTACAGTTTGTAAATGGTAATCTTTCTAAATGAGCTTTTTAAAAAAATGAACATGATAAACTAATAGCCAGATTAATACTTACTGGTAAAATATGGACGACATTTCTGACACATTTAGGAACACAGGAAGGATATGTGCTTCATTATTTAACATTTATTCTGGAAGTTCTGATCGTTGCACTACATTGTAAAATAAACACAAACAAATATTAGAATGGAAGACAAATTTTAGTAAGGAGATTAAATACTAATAAATTCTGTATCAAAACTGTTACAAGTTAATAATATCAGAACTTACAGCAATGAATATTCAAAATCTCTAATGAGTTAAGGGGTTTGTCACCAAATCTTAGATGTCTTAACACGTGTGCAGGAAGTAGTGGGATTTGTTGTCCTCTGGAGAGGATGGTTCATGTTAGGCCATGGAGCCAGGGAAGTTTATATAGGTAGGGTGAGGGCATTTTTATTAAAAATAAAGTTTCAAATGAAAAACTAGAAGACAGGCCGCATAATTAAAATGAGCTTTTAGTATATGAAATGCCCTCCAGCTGCCTTTTTGGGCATAGTTCCAGGAACCTGGGAGTTATCCTGCACACTTTCCTCCCTTCTCTCTCTCTGTCCAGCGTGAAGCCTGGCCTGTTTACCTCCTAAATAAACGTTGCTCAGATTCGTCTACCCATCTGGATCCTCCCCACCACTGTTGTAGTTCAGGCCCCATTTTCTTCCCTCTAGACTCCCTCCGTTCTCCATTCTTATCCTCTTGGAATCCATCTTTTTAATTTGACACCAGAGGCTGTCTAAATACACAGAGCTAAGCATGCAACAACCTCTGCTTAAACCCTGTGGTGGCTCCTAGTCACCTGTAGGGCAGAGCCAAGCTTAACCTAGTAGCAAGATCTTCCGTTTTCTGGCCTCTACCTATTCCTTTTCCTTCCAGTCTTCACCTTTCACTTCGAGCCCTGGTTCCTGTATGAGTCATGCCATTCCATGTCGCAGTGCTTTTGTTCATGCTACACCCTGTGTCCTGAATGCGCTTCCCACTTACTTTGTTTAGCTAATTCTACTCAATATCTAAGATTCAGCTCAGGGATTCTCTCCTAGAAATGCTGTAGTTAGGCTGTGTGCCCTCCTTGTGCTCACAAAACATCCTGTACATGTCTCTTTCTTAGTACATGTCATGCCGTTCCATGTCACAGTGCTTTTGTTCATGCTACACCCTGTGTCCTGAATGCGCTTCCCACTTACTTTGTTTAGCTAATTCTACTCAGTATCTAAGATTCAGCTCAGGGATTCTCTCCTAGAAATGCTGTAGTTAGGCTGTGTGCCCTCCTTGTGCTCACAAAACATCCTGTACATGTCTCTTTCTTAGCACCCACTATATTGAAATTCAGGGTATCTGTTACACGTTTGTCCGCTCCTCCCTGCCACTCCCTTCTTAGACCATTAGCTCCCTTAGAGCAGCCATGATGCCTGGCTCGCTGTCTGGCTCACAGTCCACGTTCGATGGAGGGTCCATTGAACTTCCTTGGATACAGCCATCAGATGAACCTAGAAAGATGTTTATCTGTCTTGCTATTTGTTTTCAGGAGTGGTGTACTTCTTAATACCGTAAGAGCAGTAGATAAGTAGGAGTGGATTGTACCTCTGCCTGTAGGAAGGTCTTAGATCTGTTTTTTTCCATGATCCAGTATAGGTCAGACATGGTTATACACTGGTACAGGACTTCACTAAAAGAAACTGAAAACTCTGTAATTATTTTAGTAAGAGTGTACCAAACAAATCTCTGGCTTCATCCATGCTCTAAGATCATCATTCTGTATATTGATTGGATTGTTGTGTAATTGCAGATAATAGTTTGTATCCTTTATGATTGGAATCATGGTCTAGTGTCACTTATTATTCTACTCCGGTAAACACAGTGTGTATTCTCTTATCCTTCTGGCTCTTTCATTGTGGAGATTCTCATCTATCCCTGGAGGAGCTTCTGAAGCACAATGAGTTTGTAATTTTGAAATGTAGTAATTATTTGGACACTAAGGAACTTCCTGAGAGACATCAGAATACTTTATGACATATTTTGCAACATAATTGTGAAGGTAGAAATGGAGATAGTAAAGTGGAATTAGTTTCTAAACTTTAAAAAACTATATGATCGATTTTAAGTAATTCATCTTTTTAGGTATGATAATAGTATTGTGGTTATATTTTTTTGAAAATGACTTCTTTTAGAGATACATACTAAAATATTTAGAAATGAAATTGAATGCTTTCTAGAATGCACTTCAAAAGAGCCTGGGGTTGGAGAATGAGGATGGAAGTAGAGTTGAAACTTATTGATAATATATCATATATTGGTAATCGTTGATGTTGAAAGGTAGATTTATCAGGTTCATCATACTGGTTTCTCTAGTTTTGTACTTTGAGAAATTTTCTCGTTCATACTTGTCACTATGAATAGTAAACATTTAATGCTTTTTAATATTGTAAAAACTAGACTATTGCACGTAAGTTGTAAAGGAATACAATTTTGGTGTTGAGTTCTCCACAGAAGGTTATTTTGAGAGTTAAATTTGATGTATCAGCATTCCCAACCTTTCTGGCGCCAGGGACCGGTGCTCCTATATATCAGCACTTCCCAACCTTTCTGGCGCCAGGGACCAGTGCTCCTATGAGAATCTAACGCCTGCTGATCTGAGGTGGAGCTGAGGCGGTGATGCTAGCGCTGGGGAGCGGCTGCAGATACATACAGATGAAGCTTCGCTTGCTTGCCTGCCACCTTTTGTGAGGCCTGGTTTCTAACAGGCCACTGACTCGTACCAGTCTGCTGCCCCTGTAATATATAATAAAATCATTTTTAAAACTAAATTATCAAGCAGTTTAAATTTAAATCATGATAATTTTGTTCTGCTTTCCCTTTTACAAAGTAAACTAGAGTAACTAAACGTATGTGGTAAATTGAATGGATGAAAATTGTTTACGGGGGCCGGGACTGGCAGTGGAGAAGGTCAGTGCCCAGTTAGAGCACAGAAGGCGGAGCTAAAGTCTATAAAGAGAGATTTGACAGCTGCAGAAGACAGCACAATGGAGAAGATGCAAAGTAGTCCTATTTTGAATCTTAAGTCCTGAATCCCATCATTTATTCTTAAATATACAGTGTAAACCTTTGAGGGGAGCGTCAGATTTGTACATAATCAGTATTAATCTTTTAAAACGATGTAGCATCAAGGGTTCGGTTCTCTTTTGCTTTCATCGATGTACTGTGAACACAAGAAACCAAAATTAAGGAAGTAAAAAAAGTCTAATGTGGAAGAAAAGTTAAAATTAATAATAAAATATAAAAATTAATAGAAATGACATGAGTTTGGGCAGAAAATGAGGATTATAGTAGCTATGTTGTTAAGTCAGTTAGCAAAAATGAAAACATTTTATTCCAGGATAATAGTACCGTGATTTTTATAGTTATTAGGAATGTACTTTCTTTGATTATACAACTAGACAGGCCATTAGGAAGAATAAAAGAAACTTTGTATGTGGGACGTATTTTAATGGAGAGGAATTTTCCTGGTTTATCTTCTACTCTGGGTATGTTCTTTGTTTTCAACCCAACTGGTAAACAAATGAAGTAATTCCATTCTCTCATAGAGACAGAGAGGATATGAAATTACTTTCTCTGTTACTATTTAATGATCTTCTAAAAAATTTATAAACCAACCTGCCTTTACTATTTTGCCATTGGATATATTTGATTGAGGTGTTGGAGATTTTGCCAGAATATTGACTTCTTTTTAATAAAATATATCAGAGCCATAATATATCTCAGAATTAATTGTAAACCAGAAAAGTTTGGGACTATTTCAGGCATTAGTTACTGAAATAACTTCTCTATGGTGGTTTTTTTCCTATAGGGCAGTTTCACTCCATGGACTTCAGACAGCTGTGTAGCCAGTTTGCTGTCACCGTTTCTAATGAGAATTGTGTAAAATACCTTTTAAAAATTTGTAGCTTATATGACACCATTTCAGCCTTTAGCAAATTTTGTTCGATAAAATATCATTCAGATTGATAGTTCCAGTATAATGTTGTGTTAAGTTTAAATCTAGAAAGTCAGATATTTGTGGCGAAGATATTTATTTGAAGAAGACACTTCTCTCTTTTATATGGATATAGGTAAACACTGTTGTAAACTTTTCATATGTATACTATTCATATGTAAGACATTTTCACATGTCTTACATATGAATAGCTGGTTCTACTTTATCCCAAATTTCCTGGCCAGCACCCTAATCACCCAACTGACGTCGCTTCTGTGTGTGACTGTTTCTCTCTCTATCCCTCAGGGAAGTCATGTGACATCACTAGTATTCCATTGTATGGTGGCAGGTAATTTTTTTAACCAGTAATCTGTTGATGGACATTTGTTTGTAGTGTTTTGCTGCTGCTAACATCCTTTTACATATATCTTTAATTTGTATATGTACCGACTGCTATTAAGTATATATTTCCAAGCAGCAAAATCGCTCCGTATGTAATTTTTTACATGATTGGAATCATGCTTAACTTTTAAAATTCTAACAGGAAAAGTAATGTATTTTATATGTAAAAGTATCTTTTCCATTTTTTTCTCCTATGATAATTCTTAGAAGTTCAGTGGCTTCAGTATTTAGACAAAGACAACTAACTAGTTAAGGTACCTCATCTAGCAAAAGGCCCCTTTAATAAAATCATGTTTTTACAGGACTCATTTCTCGTCACACACAGAATACTATACCAGTGACCTCATAAAACCTTAAACAAAAATAATCTTTTACTTTTAGGAAATCTTTCATTTTCAAAAATATAGTTCTAAAGGACAGTTGTCACTTGTGAAATACAAAAATAGACTTCATTAATTTGAAATGGCAAATACAGCGATTTGAAGTTTCTGATTTAACTGAGTTTTCCACGTGCTTTAGATCGTCCCTCTGTCTCTAATTGACTTGTCCAGTGTTAAAGCAGAATGTTACAGGTTCACTTGCGTTATTCGGCCTACGTCTGTGGGTGATATCACTAGTCTAACTATGAAGAAACAGTACTTTGGCTAAATCACTTGAATTATAAAAAAAAAGATACCTCAATATAAAACTTGAAAATGAGCTGTCAGAGGTGACTATGAACCTGCCTCTGAACCAGCAGTCGGCTTCGACCCTGTGTAATTGGCCGTTCGTCTTATTCCAGACTTTTAGCTTCATCAGATTTATTTTCCACTTTTACAATTCCATTTTAACGTATGGCTCTGAGAAACCTTGAAGTGTTATAGGCTTAAAACACCTGAAGAAACATGTAAATTGGTCCACTACTAGAAGGACCAAAGTACAATCATATTTGACTGAATTTAGGGTGAGTGGTGGTTTAATTCACATTTCCTGTTAAAGCAGTGATTCTCAGCCCTGGCTTGTGCATCGGAATTACCTGGGGGCTTTTAAAAATCCTGACAGGCAGACCTCACACCCGGACGGCGGGACCCAGCACTGAGAGTTTGAAAGAGCACCCCAAACAAGCACCGCTGTCTTGCTGCCAGGATTACGAACCACTGCCCTGTTAGCTGCTCAGAGCTAATTCTAGTAAGCAGTAATGTCGTGCTGCTCTGAGGATGAAAATGTTTGATGAGCTAAACCAGAGCTTTCCAGAGGGTGATATACATACCGTTGGTGGTACCTGAGGCAATTTTATTGGCTTTTTATTTTAATAGTTACATATTTGTTTTAATGTGCATTAGAAAATATGAGTATCAGTCACATCAAATTCACAGTTTCACAGACACAGCTTTGGACGAACCTAGATTTTTTTAAATGATATATGCCGATTTAATTGGCCAGACTATAGAAACACTGAATGATTAGTACATAAACAAGGTGGAAGTGGCGAAAATGTTGAAGAAACGCAATGGCAGCTTGGGTGAAGAGCGCCTGCTAAAGTTGAAGTTTAGAACCCAAAGTATCGGTGCTTTTTCTCCCGAGATGTATTTGCAGTGACTTAATTCTTCTGGCTTATAACTTCAGTGACAGACTTTGAGAATTAGAATTTCTGCAGATCTTTACATCGTTGCTAACGTAAAGTTTCTTGACACTTAGTTTTATTATGGAAGTGTGCCTTGTAGATCAAGATATTTTGCTCCTCTATTTTTGTAAGATGCAAGTAATCATATAAGAAAAGGGGTGTGTGTGTGCGTGCGCATGTGCGTATGTGTGCGCGCGCACATGTGTGTGACAGGTGGAGGGTAGGAGGAGTGACCGACAAGCGAGCAGATTGCCTGGATATCTGGATAAAGAACAGTATTAATTATAGGACTTCACCATTCTCAGGATCCCCTCTTCTCCCCAACCTCTCGGGAATCCCGTGTCCACCACAGCTCAGAACAGTTGAGGACACGCTATTTCGATCCTGTCATTGGTAGCATGGGTTGCTCTGGGTGGGCCAGTTAAAATGGGCCCATATGGAGATGTTTAGCTGTTCTATGTAAAAGACCTCTGCGACTCACACATCTGAATAGGCAGATTAACTGTTGCTATAAATAATGGTTTGCTGTTTTATCAATAATGTGTGTATATATATATTTCAATTACAGAGGCAGCCGTGCTGAGGAAGGGCAGCCACAGCCCACATTTAAATTATATCACTGGAAGTTAAAAGCGCGTGGTGCAGTTGTAATGTAATGTTGTGAATGTCTGTCCTCTGTAATTTTATAGAATGGAAGCTTCTTGCCTAGAACTGGCCTTGGAAGGGGAACGTCTGTGTAAATCAGGAGACTGCCGTGCTGGTGTGTCCTTTTTTGAAGCTGCAGTTCAAGTTGGAACTGAAGACCTAAAAACACTTAGTGCTATTTACAGCCAGCTGGGCAATGCTTATTTCTATTTGCATGATTATGCCAAAGCATTAGAATACCATCATCATGATTTAACTCTTGCAAGGTAATTAAGATTATCAATGTTCTTTCTCCGTAAATTAACTGTCAATTTAAAATTATTTGTATTCAATTTAAAAAACTCAATACATATAGTGTTCTAATTAAAAAGCATTACATTTAAAAAACCTGATGCCGAACACAGTTTAGTGAAATGAATGAATAGTGGTGAAATGACCCTAGAGTTTAATTAAATGAATGAAAATTAATTAAATTGAAATACAGACATGTAACTTCAAAACTTTTAAAGTAGGTTTCAAGGCTAATGGGTCTTTTTTTTTTTTTTCACCTTATGTCAGTTGTCCTCTAGGGAAAACTCCTCTGGCGGCTTTGTGTTTTAACACCATTTGCTTTTTTTTTTTAAATTTCCCCAGGACCATTGGAGACCAGCTGGGGGAAGCCAAAGCTAGTGGTAATCTGGGCAACACCCTGAAAGTTCTTGGAAATTTTGACGAAGCTGTAGTTTGCTGTCAGCGACACCTGGGTATTTCTAGAGAGCTTAATGACAAGGTAATGAGGAAACGTTCGATGGTCGGCCAAATGTTTTCGTTGACATTGCTCTGGTTTTTAATTCTATTTAATTATTCTGTAGTTTATCTGAAATTCACTGCCAAAAAAAGAAAATACTTACAGAAAAATA